TTATCTACCCTAGAATATACAACGGCTGCATATGCTGCTGTTGAAGCGTCACAAAAACAGTGTAATTGGAGCTTTGAGTTTGCTGAATAATTTAACCATCTGGGTATTTTTATAAAAGAAAGGTTAGGTAATGAATTTCTGTATTTTAACCATTTTGATTTAATACAACTTGGAACGTGAGAATCCCAACCAAGTCCATTTTCCCATAAACTTTTAAACAAAGATTTTGCCATGACCGTGGATGGGGTAAGCCACCCTAAAGGATCGTATAAACTGGCTGATTCTGAAAGAATTGATCTTTTTGTTACCGCTTTCCTATCAGATAGGTTTATTTTGAATGAAAAGCAATCGTCAGTTGTATTACATTGAATTCCTAATGTGTTTACAGTGTTCCCACCGTAATGTAAGTGAAGGATCTCGATCTTCTAAAGGAATAACATTCAAAATGTCTTCGGAATTTGTTATCCATTTTCGTAGATTGCATCCGCCTCTTTCTAATAGTGTAGACAGATTTCTGTATAACGAAAGAGCTTCGTCTACCGAATCTGCTCCCGATAGCACGTCATCTACGTAGGAATCCGTCAATAAAATTTGACAAGCTTCAGGATATTCTGATTTAAAATCATGTGCGAGTTGATGTAGTACACGTGTAGAAAGAAACGGAGCTGAGATGGTGTCATAGGTTACCGTATTCAACTCATAAATTGATATGTCATCCAAAGGATTATATCGCCATAAAATTTGTTGAAATCTACGATGTTCTGGAAAGACATAAATCTGGCGAAACATTTTTTCTATGTCGGCACAAAAGGCAAATTTATGTCTTCTCCATCGTGACATAACAACAGGAAGTTCGTTTTGCAACGCAGGCCCAACACATAGTGTCTCATTCAAAGAATTTTGTCCTTTCATATGGCTGCTCCCATCAAATACAACTCTCAACTTTGTTGTTGTACTATCATTCTTAAGAACACCATGATGTGGTAGAAAATATGAATTCTTGCGAATTTCGTCGGGATAGACCCCAACTTTGGTCATATGCCCCAATTTTTCGTAGTCTTCCATAAAAGACTTATAATTTTCAGCAAATTCTAATCGTTTCGAAAATGAAATTTCGAGTTGTCTTAGGCGTTTAACAGCATTTACTACATTATTGTCAAGTTCGGGAAGAGTTTTGCTTTCTATTAACGACTTAAATGGTAATTGAACCATATAGTGTCCCGAATTGGACTGAGTTGTAGTAGTTTGAAAGAATGCTTCACACCTCGAATCTTCATTTGATAAGTCTCTTTCAATAGCGGTCTCCTCCTGTTCCCAAAATGATCGTAGAATGTTCTCTAAATTGGAAGTGTGAACATGAATCCTATTAATACTATTATTGCTGGTAGATCCAGAAAATACCCAACCAAAGTACGTATTTTGAAAGAAAAGGTTGTTGAAAATGAAAGATTCACTTGGAATTTTTATATTTGAACAAACGTCGGAACCAAGTATAATATCAATTTTGTCCGATTTGTAGAAGTATGGATCTGCTAAATCCTCAGCTGCTAAGTCTGGCAAAGATATATGTTTACATGATTGTTGAGGCGTGTATGCTGAGAGATTGGACAATACCAATGCTGTACAAGAAACAACTAAATTTTTAGATCGGGAGAAAAGATCAATATTTACAGCATATTTCGATAAGTTTGTATAACCATCGCCTATACCTATGATATTGCAGTGTGATTTCTGTTTTTCAAGTCCAAGTGTTTGTACAGCAGATTCAGTGATTAAAGTTCCTTGTGAACCTGGATCTAATAATGCTCTCAACGAATGGTAACCGCGATGTGTACGGACATACAACCGGATGGTATAAAGTAAGACAGATGAAAATGAGTTAGCATTGTGAGATGTAACATGAGTATTTTCTGATGACGTTGGAGTATTATTGATCGAATGTACTTGTTCTGAATGTTCGTTCGTATGAAGAACAGTATGGTGTAGTCTTTTGCATATAATGCAACGAAAAGGCGACGAACAATGGTCAGAGGTGTGACCAATTGCAAGACAATTTCTACAAACCCTTTTGTCGAGTAAAAATTTGGTTTTATCACTCAGTGACAATGCTAAGAATTTAAAACACTTGGCTAAAGGATGTGGTTTTTCACAATAAACACATTTTTGATTAGGTTTAGAAAATTTACCCATATGTACAGTAGTCCGTTTATTATGCGAACTATATTTATTACCTTTATTAGTCGTATGTTTGCTAACAGAAGGAAAATCATCATTAATAGATTCTAAAGTTCTAAATGTTCGTTCAAGAAAATCAAACATTTCAGAACGATTTGGTATATCAGTCGAAGACCTTAAAGATTGTTCCCAATCTTTTCTCGTTTGTACATCCAACTTTTGAGCTATTAGATGGATTAATATAGGATCCCAACTATTTGTATTTATTCCTAAATTTTGAAGGGATGATAAACATTCCTTAGTGGAGTCAAGTAAAATTTTTATGGATTGGAATCCACCATTTGATTTTTCTATATTAAATAATTTGCTAATTAAATGACCCACTATCATTCTTTTATTATGATACCTAGATTCCAAAGTGTTCCATGCGGAATCATAATTAGCCTCTGTGGCTGAAATAGTTTTTATTAAACTTGCAGCTTCGCCAGCAAGAGTACCCTTTAAGTAATAAAACTTCTGTATTTTGTTCAAAGATTCGTTGTTGTGGACCAGGGAAACATAAATGTCACGAAATGGTATCCATTCCATGTAATCGCCACTAAATGTTGGAAGTGATATTTTAGGAAGCTTTGTATCGACTCCAATTGTGGTATCAGCTCGACCATTAGGTGCAACAAATGTACTTGATAAGGGTGAATATGACACCGAATGTTGAGATAATGCATCCATAATCTTCCCTTTAAAAATGAAGTAAATTTCTGAAAATTCGAAGTAAAAATCTTCACTTAGGTATGGAACGTCGCATGGATTTATCTCTTCATCATTCACCTTTTGTAAAATTACATTATGCTGCCCTTCAAAGTTACTAAATATATCTTCAACCCTTTGGCCAAGGGTATGTAAATAACCTGGGGTTATTTCTGAAATATTCTTGGAAGAAAATCGGGTTTGATATTTTAATAAAACAGAACATGCATCACGTTGTAATTGTATTAATTGATCGATTGAGCTCATTTTCACTTTTTTATTGATTTGATACAAATTCACTTCGATGATTATACAATGAATAACTTTAGAATATGCACAAAATTAAACGTTGTAACAAAAAGAAAAAAAAAAAGAATAATAATGGTAGGGGATATTCCCGGGTTTCGGCACCAAATTATGTACGTAAAAGTTTCAAAATAAGAAAAAAAAATAAAAAAAAATATATTTCTTTCTTTAAAAGATTTACAAATTTATTAAAGTAAAGAGTTGCAACACCAATTGTTTCAACTATATGGAAAAGTAGTATATGAAATACTTATCGTGTAACAGCACTGTTGAGAAACCAAAATGTAATGAAAGAGTCCAGAGAACTAAAGTAACAATGAACCACTTTTTCCTCAATAATCTCATTATGATAGAAAAGCTTCTGAGTCAATGTACATCAAGGCCTGTGTATACAACAAACAGAAATAATAAATAAGGTAACTTATTATTTGAAATATTTAACTAAAACATTGTCGTGTACACGCAGGCTGTGCTGTAATTGACTCAGTACACGTGCAGTTGAGCTCCATCGACGACAACAACAACATACAGCTTAATAGATTAAGCTGGGGTTATGCATGTGCTCACACTCATTACTGTATGCAAATTATGACAGTTTCTCTTTCACTCATATTTAGATCTCTCAACAGATGTGTTAATATCATTAATATATATTTCTGTTATACAAATAAGTAATTGAAAGAGAATGTAATATTAACATAGAACAGTGGCTCAAATGACATTTTGGAAATAATTTTAAAAATAGTAAAATGTATGTAACAAATATTAATTTAAGAATTTTATTTTAACAGTTGTTGGAATGTTTTCACCAACACCTTGTTTAAATCGTTTCCAAGTTCTATGTAGTTCCATATAAATTTTATCAAATTTCGGATTCAAACTCGACGAACTTTGTTTCTTCCTGTACAGGTTCTAACTACAAAAGAAGATTAGAGGTCTATGAAATCGTAGAAGTCAACTATAGAAATCACTTATCATCGGATAATGACCTTGAAATTGTTCTACATAAGTTCTTCTCTAGAAGTTTTTCAACCTATAAATAGAAATTTTCCATGCATCAATTATGAAATCTGATAAAAAAAATTCAATGCAAACACATAATAAATTTATAGATGGTATTATACAAGGCGCCGTATAGTAAAAAATCTTATAAAATTATTTTGCTGAGTCAGATGATATTACGAAAATAAAAAAAAACATAACAATAAACAGACATCAAACATTAAAAATCCAATTTTTATTTAGATAAGATTAACTTTTGATAATTTTTTGACAATTTCTAAAAAAAGAGTTAAGTTTTTTTCGTTCGAAATCATAAATTTCTCTGAAGCTACTGTCAAGCGTAATGGGGTGCCCCATCTGATATACAAGGGTATTATCTCTCACTTAGTGTTAATTGTGATACTGTGTCGCTCAGGGCGACACAGATACAGATAATTATTCTTTAAGTTAACACATTAACTATTGAGAATTAGTTTATAATAAAAATTGGCAAATATTTATGAGGGAGCCGTAAATCTCTGGAATGAAAATATTTATGTGAGTCATTAAATAAAATCCAATTATATAATAATGGAATTAGCGGATTTGACACCTTGATATTGAGAACATAAACAAATAAATATATATGTTAACATAATTAACTCTAATTTTTTTATTGGCGTCGACAATTATCACCAGTTTTTGCCGGTTTCATTTTCAATTCACAACATTTTTTAAATCAGTTCTTTTTTCTTTGCCACTCTTATAGGACACAACACACAAGCGAAAGACAACAAATATGAACAGAAATATTGAGACTCCCATTTGTGATTTGGGTTTTTCTGATAAGGTAAGTGTTCGAATATTTATTCAAACTTATGTTTTAAATTCTTAGAAATAATTATTTTGAGTAAATTGTGCAAATTAAACAACTTTCTCTTCATAGCTTCTGTTTGTGAATTCAATTAAGTGCACTTTCTTCGTTTAGAAGTACTTCGCAAACCTATGACTAACAATTGTTGTAATTGAATAAAAGTGAACCTCTTGAACTATTACTACTCAAGTGCTCAAAGAAAGTGTTTTTATTAATTCTGTGAATGTGAAGATTTTTGAAAGTTGACAGAAAAATCATTTTAAATTATAATTTATACAAGAATCAAAAATAATTCTGATGGCAGAATTCATAAAACTTGAATACGAAGCAATTTAAATAATTTGAACTGTATACACAAATTAGTACTGTACATAAATATACCCTCTTCTCTATATTGAAAAGCTCCTCACTTTACCAAAATTTTGAATTTTTAGATTTTTTCTTGTGATATGTATCGTCCATAATGAGGTTTTGACATATGAAATCCAAATAACATATATCTATTAGCTGAATATTAAATATAAGCTTTAAAACATTTTGTTGCCTGTGGGCAACAACAATTTATTTAACCAAAGGGTTAAATAATTTTGACTGTATACACAATTTGGTACTGTACACATTTTTGCACTCATCTCTTTATTGAAAAGCACATAACTTCACCAAAGATTTCAATTTTTTAGTTTTTTCTTCTGATATGCGTCCTCCAAAATCAGATCTCACCATGTGCAATGCATTATATTTATATGCATATATTTACTCGCTGAGTTTTGAAGTGTGTAGCTATCGTATGAACTAGGATAAAGCCAATCGGTGAAGATCTTCCTTATTATACCCTTCACCACACTGTGGTACAGGGTATTATGTCTTTGTGCATATGTTTGTAACAGGCAAAAGGAAACGAGATAGACACATGGTTCTTTTTGAGAATATGCATAGAATCACTTTCTAAGTCGATTTATGCTTATCGTCAGTCCGTCCGTCCGTCTGTCTGTCCATGTTAAATTGTAAACAAAGTACAGGTCGCATTTATGATCCGAATTGGATGAAATTTGGCATAGGTCACTTATTCGGCACAAGGACGAACCCTATTGAAATTGGGAAAATCGGTTCAGATTTAGATATAGCTCCCATATATATATTTAACCGATTTAATGTAAACGGTCCCTATATATCTTTCGATTTGCACGAAATTTGGTACACCCTAATCATTTAGGTCTAGAATGATGTCTGCCAAGTTTCGTGAAAATCGGTCCAGATTTAGATATAGCTCCCATATATAGTTTCGACCGATTTCATGTAAATGGTGCCCCAAAGTCTTTATATATCATTCGATTTTCACGAAATTTGGCATAACGTATTGAATTAAGCCAAGAGTGATGTCTGCCAAGTTTCAAAAAAATCGGTCCAGATTTAGATATAGCTCCCATATATAGTTTCGTCCGATTTCATGTAAATGGTGCACCAAAGTCCCTATATATCCTTTGATTTGCACGAAATTTGGCATAACGTACTGAATTGAGCCTAGAATGATGCCTGCCAAGTTTAGTGAAAATTGGCCCAGATTTAGATATAGCTCCCATATATAGTTTCGTCCGATTTAGATATAGCTCCCATATATAGTTTCGTCCGATGTCATGCAAATGGTGCAACAAAGTCGCTATATATCTTTCGATTTGCACGAAATTTGGCATAACGTACTGAATTGAGCCTAGAGTGATGTCTGCCTTGTTTCGTAAAAATCGGTCCAGATTTAGATATAGCTCCCTTTTATTATAGATTGATTTTAAGTAATTGACGCACCAAGGAACCAATAGGAACAAAACGTTCTGAAATTAGTATAACCTTACCTGTGACAAGTTTGTTTGAAATCGCTTAATATTTGGATATTTATATTTGTTTGAAGTCGATTTACATACTTTATTGATAGATCTAGGTAGATTCAAATTTAGATAAATATCGCATATTTTATTTCATCCAATTTCATGTTAATAGTCCTGTTTAATATACCCATAGTGGTGAAGGGTATCATATAGTCGGCCCCATCCGACTTTACTACTTTCCTTACTGGTTTTTTCTTAGTTTACGGTGAAAAAATGGCGAATGTCCAAAAAATTTCAAAGGTCCACCATCCAGTTAATTTTTGAGCGACAATCCTAGTTCAAACGAGAGCCTTAAAGGCGGAAACATTTTTTCTTCTAATCTGGACACAGAAGCAAATTAGTTCCAGTGCGGTTGGAGAATATTGCTAATACCAGTCGTTATACGGTGATATGCTGGATGATTCCCGAAATATGAGTTTTTTTCGGAATTTAACACACAAACTCATTATATTCGAATGTTTCATTCATTCTGTTTACAATACCTATTAATATTCATCGAAAATGATATATATATATATATATATATATCTGATCAGTAAAAAACTGTCGATTTAGCCACTTCCGCCTTTGAATTCACGATAGCGTTATTGAAAAATATATTGTCAATTTTAGATGTTTTGAAAAGTTTTGCCGAGTTTCCCACCAAATTCTTGGTGGAAAAATAGTTTCGAAATAGATTCAAATTTTAACATTCTTACTTCTGTCACTGCCCTTAGGAGCTTAGGGATTCCAAATTAATCCAGCTAAGCAAATGATTTGTCTGATTTGTCTGTTTATGCAACAGAAAATCACGAAATGGTAAATTTTTCTTACAATTTTAATATATAGGCTAAATAAAAAGTAAAGTTAAACCCACCTCGTGGAACTTTTGTAATACGATTTTATACCCTACACCCTGAGGTTGGAATTTTAATTTTATATTTTGGATTCCCATTGCACTATGGGCCTGGGACCCATTTTTTTTTTTGGCAACAAGTCAATTTCCATTGGCAAAAAGTCCATATACTGTATTTCAAATTTGGGGAATTTCATGCTATATTGTTATATTGCTAAGAAAGTAAATGCTTAATTTTTTCTTTACAAAACATGTTCAAAAATAATTTAATTAATTAAATTTTTAAAATATTTGACCGTCATTTTCGAGCCATCCTATTGCATTTTTTACTTTTGCTGAATCGTAATCAACGTCCGCGAAACCCTTATATGTGATATTTATTTATTTCATAATTCCTCTGCTCCATATATGGCCAAATGGGATCCCTTTCAAAAAGGTTTAATATTTGGGGAAAGTCCACATATAACGATTCAGTATTTTGGGCAGAACTTTATAAATCTGGGACCATATCCCACACACAAAGAGTACGCATCATTTTCGGTATGTTCAAGGTACAAGCCCAATGTTCAAACCTGGGTGATTGTACTTTGATATTTCCCAATAAGAATCCCAACCGATTTTAGACATTTTTACTCACTATCCCATGGTGAAGGATATAGTGTTTACTTTATTTTACATCTTTGTCGCACTGTGTGCTACTTATAATTTGTAACACCTCTTTATTTAACCCCACAATCAATTACCGTTTACATTTGTACATTTTTTAATTAAAAATGCTGTACAATTTTCAATAATGGAGATATTTGGATCAAATTTTGAGGAATCCTTCTTGAGGTGCTTTTACTCATAATTTATGAAAAACTATAAATATTTCTTATATACTCGTATAATTTTTAAAATTATTCCCTGCGTAGATCAATAACCATGGTACCAAAGTTAGCGCTGTAATTCAATTAAAAAATGGGGCTATTATGCGGATTTTTTTATAAAGTAGTCTATAGGAATCTCTATATGTACGTACTCAGAATTTTATATACCTTAAATAAACATATATTAAAATTCATGTTTAAATGGAAATCAATCTACAACAAACAAAGTTATTTCGACATAGCTCTCGAATGGGTTAAAGTTTGTTATTTAGTTTTTGTAGCCCTAAATAACATGAGACCATCAGGGCGACTAGTAGAAGTCAACAACCACCTAGGTTTTCCGTTGGCATACGGAGACTAAAACAATACTCAAGTTATCTAGCGCAGAGGGGAAACTATAACGAAATTAACTTGGATTTTAATATATATTCCTTAAATGTGCATATAATTATAATCTAAATAAGATCCGTATAGACTAATTTACAAAATAAAAATTATTATAGTCCCATTTCTAAATGAATTATAGTGCAATGTTAGAATGCGTACAAATGTACCCAGTTACTGATATTTCTATACTTTTTTGGTTATTGACCGTAGGGTTAATATTTTCTATCATTTAATATTTTCTAACATTTAATGCTATAACACCCTCTACAGAGGGTGCTGTATTCTCTAATGAGTAGAAGGCTTAAATGTTATTTATTCTATTGTTAATGGCTTATATGGATGAAATGTCAATGATTGGCTTTTAACGAAGCACAAACGTAGTTTTTTTCTTAATATGGAAAAACAAACAAAACCGGTCTGATTGAATAAATTCTATGTCAAATTTGACAGAATAAAAAAATACGATATTCAACAACCATATTAGGAGATCACATGAACAGACATTTGCATTTGTTATTATCACGTGCAGGTGGTTTTTTCATTGTTATTATTGTTTCTACCGTTGTTTTTATTTAATATTAAAGGTGTATAAATAAGACAATATTATACAAACTTGCAAAAAAATAAAACAATTATTTGCTTTTTAAATAAACAAAAATATGAATTTTTGGCGATGAGTGTCTGTTAACACTCAGAACGAAACTGGTTTAACCGAAACTGAAGAATGATAAGAAATCTTATCGTTAAGAAATTAAATCAGTTCACAAAAATTGGTGTTAATTGGCATTAAAAGAGTTCGTTATTTATAGAGTTTATTTTCGATTGTACATATGTACATACATATACATGTGTACTCAGGGAATATTTTAAGAATACACTTTAATAAATATATCTTTAATATAGAATGAACACAACATCCGCTGATATAGCGTTCAAATCAACTGTCATATTTATAATTTGATTTGTGTGTATGGTTCAACATTCTATGGCACATTGCCTTGGATA